TACTATAACACTGTATTCTCCTATTCACTGGTATCACTAGATTATATGTGATGTAGCCAGGAAGATTATTTAAAACAGCTGACCTGTGTGGTAAGTTTCTGGCGACTATGACAAGGTCCTGGATGCTGTAGAGGATAAACAAAATACAGATGTAGTATACACAGACTTTGCAAAAGCTTTCGACAAGTGTAACTATGGTGTAACAGAACACAAAATGCGTGATAAAGGAATAACGGGAAAAGTTGGTAGATGGATCTAGAACTTCCTGACAAATAGAACACAAAGAGTATTAGTAAACAGAGTAAAGTCCCAGGCAGCCACGGTGAAAAGCTCTGTTCCACAAGGCACAGTACTTGCTCCCATTCTATTCCTCATCCTCATTTCTGACATAGAGATGTTAGCCTTGCTCCGTGTCTTCTTTTGCGGATGACACCCGGATTACCATGGCAGTGACCTCCATCGAAGACACCGCGAGACTCCAAGCGGACATCAACCAAATCTTGGAATAGGCCACTCAAAACAATATGAAGTTCAACGAGGAGAAATTTCAACTACTCAGATATGGGAAACTTGAAGAAATTAAAAATGTGTCAGGGTATACAACAAATTATAACATTATAATAGAGCGGAAAAGTAATGTGAAGGACCTGGAAGTGATAAAGTCAGAGGATCTCGCCTTCAAAGCCCACGACAATGTATCTACCTCATCCGCTAGGAAAATGATATGATGGATAATAAGAACCTTCAAAACTAGGGATGCCAAGCCCATGATGATTCTCTTCAAATCGCTTGTGCTCTCTAGGCTGGAATATTGCTGTACACTAACTGTCCCCTTCAAGGCTGGCGACACTGTAGACCTGGAGAGTGTACAAAGAACTTTCATGGCACACATAAGTACGATAAGGCACCTAAGCTACTGGGAACGGTTGAAGGTCCGTGATCTGTATTCCCTCGAACGCAGGCGAGAGAAATACATGATAATATACACTCGGAAGGTCCTGGAGGGATTGGTACCAAACCTGCACAAGAAAATCACTCCCTATGAAAGCAAAAGATTCGTCAGGAGATGCAACATTCCCCCGATGAAAAGCAGGGGCGCCACGAGTACAGTGAGAGACAACACAGTAAGTGTCCGGTGCCCAAGACTGTTCAATTGCCTCCCAGCATACATAAGGGGGATTACCAATATACCCTTGGTGGCTGTCTTCAAGAAGGCACTGGAGGGGCACCTAAAGTCAGTACCTGACCAACCGGGCTGTGGTTCGTACGTCAGCTTGCGTGTGGCCAGCAGTAACAGCTGGTTGATCAGACCCTGCTCCACCATGAGGCCTACTCTCAGACCGGGCCGCGGGGGCGTTGACCCCTGAGACCCTCTCCAGGTAAACTCCTGGTAACACATGTAAATATAAATAACTCATTTTACCTCATTCCTAGTATATCTCCTTTATAGTATAATAATAATAAGGTATCAAAAGGACCCCAATGGAAATAAGTCACTTTGTCTGACTTTTCTGGGTTATCCTGGTTTCTCTACACATATGCCGCTATGTATGATAAACTATGTAACTGTATTTGTGTATACCTGAATAAACATACTACGGCTGGCTATATACTTTGCATTTGGATTGATCATCATCTGTGTATGTGCCAAACTGCCAAAAGTACTTGTAACCAAGCCTAGGCCTGGCCATTACAACTTCCGTCAGTCTGTACACACTGTAAGTTGCTCCATGAACGTACTTATATACGTTCATGTTATCTAACTGCAATCCTATAACATTCAGTTTCATTATTTACTTCTCCCTAATGGTAAACACAGATACACCAGTTATATTCTACATTTTCCTTTAGGATATTTCTCTTGGCTAACATATCAACTTTACTATGAAGGAGCAATCCAATGTGTGATGGAATCCATAACAACTGGACATTTATTCCATTTTCCCAGATTTTTGAGTATCTACGAGTATACGTGGCTTCTCCAATGAACATGTTCGAATCATTATGTGAGTCAAGAGCCTTCAGTAATGACATAAAATCACTAATAATCACAGACTTGATGTCATAAGCTAGCTTTAGCACCATTAGGATGGTAAACAATTCAGTTTGCAGTGTAGACGCCCAGGTGTAAATTCTCATGCCTAACTCAGCATAATTCCTATCGTTCTTAACTAGCGAGGTGACAGCAAGAGCAGATGCAGCCCTGCCAATAGACTCCTACCTAGATCCATCACTGTATGTAACTTGTGATAAATTATTACTACCAGTTAGGCAAAAAAATTCTTCTTGAGCAGTTGCAGTGATTAGCTGCATGGGAGTGGCATAAAGGTATGTGATATTAAATAAACACATCTTCCATGGAGGTGTGAAATGTTCTTTTTTTCCTACTTGATAAATAATAAATAGGCTTACTCGGGATAAATTGTCTGGCATTTTTAAATTATTCATAATTTTAAAATGTTGCATTTCAAACATTATTTTAGGAACAAAGGAGTATATCATACACCCACAGGAGCAAGAAAGCTTTCACTTCTCACCAGTGTATGTACTCTCCTATGTGTAGTTGCAGAGGTCGATTCACAGCTCCTGGCCCCTTCTTGCGTGTGTGTGCGTATTAATTGTGATCCATTTTTCGATTACTTCCAACGGCAAATTGTGATTTTTCAGTGGCATCAGATGAGTGGAGTGGTATTTATGGTACATACTGTTACTTGTATTTGACTAGGGTCAAGCAAACACCGAAGAGTATGAGTCATTTCTTGGGTCTTATGGTTGCTCTCCAGCTCTCTGCTAGTTACGTAGACTCTCATGAAAAGTAGGTAGACAATGGCAAAACTCGACGAGCGGGAAACAAGACACTGGTAGCAGGGTTTTCTCTACTATTAGTGTCATTTTTTCCTGGTAACTCTGTCTTAGCTACGGTCTTTATAATGGAGGGAGACAAACCCTATACTATTCGAATGAGTCTTCGAATGCCTTTGTATGTTCCGATGTGGGTTGCCCTCCTTGAAATGTTTTCCTCGCTTCTTTGGCAGTACAAGAGGTGCCTTTGTAGCCGGTGGATTGTTGTTGTTGTAGATTCGCCGGTACATTTGCCAACCCGGGTCTTTTCCAGATGGTGACCCAGACTTAGCTCCCAGTCATGGGAGTGTCTTGATGAGTATGCCAGCTGTGCAGCAGCTGGCGATGCGAGGAAGGCTCATGAGGCTGCACAGCAGCAGGCGGTGTCGGGAAAGGCCGAGAAAATAGCCATTACCGGGTCCAATGGAGCCACACCCCAGCTTTAGGCTGTGGCCTGAGTGTTGGGAACTCAGCTTCACGGTGATTTGTAGGTGCAAAGCTTGCTAGTGGATTGAACCGTTCTGTAGGTATCTGAATTTCTTTCTTGAGAGGTAATCCACTTCAGTCTGGGTATTGGTTTTTGCTATACGCTTTTTGACGAGTTGAATAATTTCTTCAGTGGTGTAGATAGAATTCGAGTCGCAGGTAAACTTAAAGAGTCCCGTCCTGGAGTCGATGGTGAATTTCTCGGGCAATCATTTCGTCATTGTATTGGTCAGTTGTGTAGAACCTGAAAGCAGGCCAAGCAGCGTATTCAGGATCATTATCAAGGCTGAGGCAGCCACAGGAGGGCTGGCAGTGGTAACAGTTGAAGGAGTGATTGAGTGAGCCGAGGCAGTGGGGAGTTCTTCACCAGGTGGTAGTGTTTTAGCTCTCTTGGCAGGTAGCTGGGGCAGACGAGGCGAGGTAGCTGATTGGTGCATTACAGTGGTGGTGGTGGCCTCTAATTGGTGGGATTTGGAGGAGTCTCGTCACATGGAGGCGGTGGTGGTGGTGGTGGAGCTGTGGAAACATTAACAATATTTGAGGTGGATTTGATTATGTCTGTAGAAGGTGGAGATTCAGGGAATGTAAAGCTGGGCATGCTGTTTAGCCTGAAGAGTTCGTTGGTGGTGGTATTGAACGGTTACCCCATAAGTACCTGGTTCTGCTTATGAACTTGTTGAATTTATTGTCATGCACTTCCATGGACATAGATCAGTGCTTCTCTTTATATTAAACACAAACTGTATAAAATGAACTCAGTGAATGAACCCAATGAAAAGCAGGGGCGCCACTAGCACGATAAGAGACAACACAGTAAGTGCCAGGGGCCCAAGACTGTTCAACTGCTTCCCAGCATACATAAGGGGGATTACCAATAGTCCCCTGGCTGTCTTCAAGAAGGTGGTAGACAGGTACCCAAAGTCAGTACCTGATCAGCCGGGCTGTGGTTCGTACGTCGGGTTGCGTGCAGCCAACAGTAATAGCCTGGTTGATCAGGCCACTGGATGGCGAAACGTCTACAATAAAGATACCCAGATGTAGCACATGTGTCTAACTTTCATCTTGTCGGTACTGTATATCATTCATGTACAACTCTACACTGCTTATCGTATTTCTTCAGAATTGTACATTTTTCGTAGTTCCTCATGATTTTGCACATTTTCGTATATCAATAGAAACTTTTACTCAGTGGTATCACTAGACTATATGTCAGGTACACTAGCAAATTTAAAAAGATTATTAATACGAGCTGACCTGCGTGGTAGGATCCGTCTTAATTTTCACCATAACATTTATTATGGTATCTTATCTATATAGTACTGTACCACTGTGATACACACTATTCCAATATGTATGATACTATCAGGGAAACTTTCTTTCCTCTCACAAATTTGTTCTACCTGTTGAGAAAGTTTTAGAGTTTTTTTTTAAATTTTAACCATCTGATGAGATTTTAAGTTAACGAAGAGTAATTTAATCTAGTGTGAGAGTATTATTTTATCATGTACTTTTAATGGCGAATTTACCTTGTGGACATGTATTATGTATTTTTTATGTTCTTTACTGGCAAAAGTTGAATGACCTGTTGATCACAGGACTCTGAATTGTAAAGCTATCAGCTCTACTCAGCATTCTCCATCCCCCTGACCCTACTCTCTCGCCCACACCAGAAATCCATGGATTTCGACGACCTCTTGCCACATGTCGGAGAGTTTGGTCGGTACCAGAAACTGCTCATCTTCTTCATCTGCCTGCCAGCGTGCATCCCGTGTGGCTTCCACGCCTTCAATCAACTGTTCATGAGTGCCACACCCCGTCATTGGTGCCAGGTGCCAGAACTAGAGGCGGCTGGACTCTCCGCTTCGGCAGCCAGAAGCCTCTCTATACCCAAGGTGAGTACCATCCAGGGATAGATGGAGGAAGGAAGGAATGCAGGAAGGATTGGAGGTATGTTTGGACGGAAGTCGAAAGGGAAATGGGGAATGAGTGTGTTAGGGAAGGGGGGTTAAAGATATTTATATAGCCAAGGTTAGGAAAATGCTGAAAGACTAAATCACTTAGTAAACTGAAAGCAGATACGGATGATTCCACGATCATCAGTCTTCCATAATGTTACACCCTTCACGATAACTAAATCCTCAATATCTAACTCTGACTTTGTTTCTGACCGCTACAAGGAGGAGGATGAGTTCAGTCAGTGCACTCAGTACCTGGTGGAAAACTACACTACGGAGAATCTGGTACCTGACCCCTCCTGGCCCGTGGTGCCTTGCAGGAGCGGCTGGCACTATAACACCTCGGTCGTCTCCTCCTCCATCGTCATTGATGTGAGTCCCACGTGATGTTTGTAAAGGGTTAGTGATACAAGTGATCGGAGCTACACTCCCCATTCTTGGGCCAAACCTCATTACAGCCCATTTTCCCAAGAGCTGTATGACCCATTTGGGCATAACGTTTCCTCGGGAACGTTTTATTAATATATGTAAGAGGACCGCTACGGTGACCAATTATGAACACAGTGAGTGGAAGCATAATGTGAGAGTAGGATGTCTTGCCTGGCGGGCGGAGGATCGAGCCTCTCCTTGGGCTGAATGACTCATTTCGCGTAAATATACTAAAACCGCTATTAAAGTATTTCACCTCAGGTGAAAATATTGCGAAACGGCAAGTTTTTCTTGTAACAAAATGTTTAATAAATTTAGTTCAGTCGTCCCTCTTATAGGCAGCTTATATAGCTGGTTTGTAGGTTCATAGGCTATTGACTACACTAGGGTCACTAGGCCACACTCAATCTTTCTCACCACAAGACAAGAATACATTAATCCCTGAAATAGGGGAAAGTAAACTCTCAATACATATACACTAAGAGAAATAAACCTTTCGGTATGCATATCCTATGTTGTTTAAAGTGCAAGTTTGATTTAAAATATATTAATAATAATACTATTAATTTAATATTTAGAAGCTTCTTCACGTCAAAACAATAATTTTGGATAAATAGGACTTCATCTTACCTTAAAGCAAAATTGAAAATTTATTTAGGTTGCTGGACGCGATTTTACTTATTTAAAAAATTAATATTTCCTATACACATTGTATTGTTCTTATGAGGTGAAACACGAACATGGTCTCTGTTGTATTCCAGACTTTTATGTAAGAGGAGAGAGAGATGATGATAATAATAATTCTCCATGTGGAGCAGCGGGTAAGTGGAGAAGAATCCTTCCTCTGTAAGCCATGTGTGTCGTAAGAGGTGACTAAAATGCCGGGAGCAAAGGTCTGTAACCTCTTCGCCTGTATAAATTACTAAATATAAAAAGAAGAAAAGCTTTCGTTTCTTTTTCGGGTCACCCTGCCTCGGTGGGAGACGGCCATTGTGTGGTAAAAAAAATATCAATAATGATAACGATCATTAGCTTTTCTGCAGAGGCTGCATTACCACTGGTAACATGAACACTACTTTGAGTTATCATTGGTACCGCTGTTGCACTACCAGTACGCCTAACATCGCCACAACCAACACTACAGTCACGACTTTCTCAACAGCTTTTCTGCCCACACAACTTCCTCCACTACATTCCCTTCCTCTGTGATACAGCTTGTCTGTGTACGCACCCACAGTACGACCTGGTGTGCGACAGAGCTATCTACCCGACCATCGGTCTCTCTCTGCTCAACGTTGGAGGAATTATTGGCGTCTACGTCTTCGGCACCATTTCTGACAGGTGAGAGTGATAGAGAAACAAGGAGGAGAGGCAAGAAGGGACAGAAAGGAAAGTGCATTGGGAGAGGGTTAAGAGGAAAGAAATTGCAATAGAGACTTAAATGTTAGAGGGAATGGTGATATATCTTAACTTCCCGTGTTAACCTACCACTAACATGACTCCCATATTAGCTTACTACTACCATGACTCCCATCTTGGCAGGTTGGGAAGGCGAGTGTCCTTCCTGGTGTGCTTGGCGGTAGAACAGGTCTTCGGTCTGGCCACAGCCTTCGCTCCGGACTTTTGGTCGTGGACCGCTTGTCGCTTCCTAGTCGGGCTCACCGTACCTGCCATCTACCAGATTCCCTTCATCATCTGTGAGTAGAGGCAGAGGATAGATGGGTGGAGGAGTAGTGAACGAGTGGAAAGATTGAGTAGCAGTGGATAATAATTACTTCACATTGATTTAAGCTGTTCTTAAAAAAAGAAAAAACTCAGTTTCGGAAATACACTGTTATTACCAGCCTTCCGCATCTTCAGTAACCAGCTCTTCTCTCTCTCTCAGCCTTGGAGTTGGTGGGTCCTAGCTATCGGAGCTTCGTGACGGTGATGACCTGTCTCTCCTACGTGGGAGGAATGCTGCTCCTGACAGTGCTGGCTTACTTCTTCAGGAATTGGGTGCATCTTTGCCTCGTCACTTCTCTTCCCTTCTTCACCTACGTCGTCTACTGGTGGTGAGTGTCGTGACTTAAGACACACACACTGATCATTGAATCATAACATACCATTAAATCTATTTAGAGGTTATCTGCTTGTAATGATTATCATCAATAAGAGTAGCAGTGGTAATAATAATATTTAACACACCATCAGTCTCCCACCGAGGCAGACTGACCCCAATATAAAAGAGGAAAAACTTTTACCGTCACTCATTCAATCTTGCCAGAAGCGGGCCGACATAGTTCAGATGGCCTTCCAAACTTCAGAGTGTAGGTCCTGTATTTTCCACCTGGAGAACTCCAGTCCGGCTAGCAGTTTTTCCCAAGAATCCTTTCATAAATGTTAACTTGTTCTCATCAAGTCACGTAAACCACTGTCCTCCACTCCGATCTACGCTCTCACACAAGCCTGTCGGATTTTTAGGAACCTAACACTCAAAGCCTCCTTTTACCCCCTTGCCTTCAACCCTTCCTGGGATGACCCCTATCCTTTGCTCCACCCCAGGTTCACATCCTTCTACTCATCCAGTTTTGCTCTATCCTCTCTAAATGCTCAAACCTCCTAAACACCCCATCCTCAGTCCTCGGAATTAAACTTTTGGTAAACCCAACACCTAATCTCCACGCTCCTAATTCTCTGCATAATAATCAAGCAACACATGACCCTCAAACACGATGGTTATTGTTTTATGAACAAAAAGGCACAATACCGTGACTGAAACAATACACAGATAACCCCTTTATATGGAATACTTCTAAACTGTTCTTCCTACTATTGGTGTGCGCCCCTCCCTCTGGCTCCCCTATGTAGATGGCATCTTTGCTCTTTGGCCTCATAACTAGTCTTTTCCAACCATTTCTCGATGCCCATAAGCTAGCTCTTGCCATCAAATTTAAATTATCATAATTGTAACTAAGCGCTAAATCTAAAGGGTCATACAGCCATCAAGGATGAAATTGGGAATCAATTTCTTTGCTTCCTTTCCTTGATGTACATGTCCACCTCTCGGATGCAGGCTTTGTTTTTTTTTCTCGTGTATCACAAGCCAGTGCTCAGGGGCATGTACATTCACTACTTTTATATATCATGCTCCCTCTGTCAAGGAAAGTGTTCTTATTTCTTTCTTCATCCTCTCCGTATTTGTGACCCTCAGTTCCTTGAATTGGAAAGTTCCTCTCTTCGTAATTTTCAGGGAAACACCCTCCGCCTGATTAGAAGTATGGAAAAATAACTAATAACTTCGAGAAAAAATAATAATGGAAAATTAAAAAAAGTATTTAAATAACAAAAAAAAAAGTTGGCTGCCGTTTGTTCCAGTGAGGTTTAAGACAGGAGACTTTTCTAACTCCAGGAGATCTTAAGATGTACTGAAGGTACAATGTTTGCTATCCTGGGTAGGCGGTGGAAGCATGGAATTAAGGAGATGGTGAAGCTCCTGTCATTCCTGGTTTGCTGTATCTCACTCTAGATCATAAAGAAGAGATGAGGGTGGCTGTGTTCCACTATGTTCCATCACCAGGGTTCTAGCTCCAAGATACCGAGGCCTACTGTGGATGACCACACCAGCAGCAGAGATGATAATGAAAAAAAGCACTGGTTACAAGATGGTTATTAAGTATAACACTGAAGAAAGACAAAGGGTGGTAATTGTACTTCAATGTCATTACTGGCAACCAGGTTAAATACAAAGAAAATGAAACAATATTCCTGGTAGATCACCTTACCTGAACAGGAGAAGAGTAGAGGTGAAGTGATTTCCCAAACTCCTGCTGCAAACCAGGAAAGGGTAATACTACCAGAAGTAGAAACCAAAAAGCTCGGATCCAAAGAAATCTGGTGTTGTACAGCGGCCCGCTTGATGGCAATGCGGGTGGCGACACACTGTAACAGTCCTTCGGGGTCTGAACTACCATAAGCCCAATTTACTGAGTTTTCTCTAACAGTAATTCGTTCTCTCGTCTTGGCTACCCTTCCCATTTCATAAACTCTTCCCTCTCACGTGCTAAACGGACTCTCTTCTCTCCCCAGACTCTCTACTCCTGTGAAATTTCCCGTTCTATGCCTTCCCTATTTCCATTCTTTCTAATTTCAACAACTCTCTCCGTTCCTTAGACATCAAACTTTTCGCCAAAATGATACCCTTCGCAGTAGACTAGTTCGTACCCCTTTTCCCCCTATAGCTACTCCTGGTTTCTACTCTATTTCATGCTCCTCTTCTCCTCTTTAGTACTTTGGAGAAAGTGGCCGTTCTCTTTCTGACAGACTCAAGGAGTCTGTCAGAAAGAGTAGTGTTAGGCTTGCCGACAACAATAATGCTCTTTTCTGTTATGTTAGAGATCACAGATATCCTATTGACTGGTCATCTGGTAAAACTGTCTACCCTACTTCTAGCTTTCTCAGTCGCCATCTTACTGAGTAATCCCTTATACACAACTTTCCTTGTATGAATGTTAGTCCTGGCTTGTCTCTAGTAGAGGCCTTCCTTTCCCATTACATTGTCCAATGCTCCAAACTTCAGAACACACTTGACTTAACCAGATTCTTTTCCTCCTCCTCTCTCTACCTCTTCTCCTTTCCCAATTTTCATTTTTCTTGTTTTGGGTTTCCTTCTGCCTTGGGTGTTCTGTCCTTCATCCCTCTTTCCCCGTGTTTTTGCCTTTACCCCTTGCAGTGCTCCTCTTTCTTGGCCTTTAACTGACCCAACTACTACTACTTTCTTTCCTACTACTTTTGGCCCCTACCTTCACTTTTGCCTCCCTTCACCCTTCACTCTCCCTTTTTATTCTTATCCCACCAACCACTCTCCCTACTTTATATTACCACTACTACTACTTCCACTACCAGCCTTAACCCTGCCACTACTACTTCTACTACTACTTCCACTATCTGCTTTACCACTACCACCACTACTACTAGTCTTCCCACTTCTCTTGTCCCATCCCTACCAGCTGCCCTATATATACTGGCTCCTTCTCTACTTTCTGTGTGACTTTGTAAATGGTCCAAGTCGGAACGAAACGTCGTCGTAAGCTCCTCTCTCCTATGTGCAGGTTATTTGTGTATTATTATATGGCCCCGTTCAACTCGGCGTTAGCAGCAACCGTACTTCCTGCAGGTTCTTACCGGAGTCTCCACGCTGGCTCCTCTCTAAGGAACGTCTTGAAGAAGCTAAGATGATCCTTGTCAAGATGGCAAAGGTGAACAAGACGGAGCTCCCTGATGAGTTCATGCAGAAGTTGCAGGTATGAGATTGTGGTGGATGTAATGATGTAAGCAACAGCAGTGATGGTGGTGGGGCAAGTAGTGGTGGTTGAAGTGGCAAGAGTGTTGCTAGCATTGGTGATTGTGATGGTGGTACAGTTAGTTATGGTTATAGTGGTGCAGGTGGAGGTGGTGGTAGTGGAGTTGCACAGGTTGCTGTGATGGTGTTGTAGGAAGCAGTGGCAGTGGTGGAACAGATCATGGTGGTAATGGTGCAGATTTCGGTAGCAGCGGTGCAGATTGTGGTTGCATTCCTTAACGCACTTCATCATTAACTTCCCTCTTTTCTTCCTCTTCCGTGCCTCAGAACCGCATGTTAGCCCAGCAGGCGCTGAGCACCAGCTCCGCCAGCAAGCAGGACCAGCACTGGGTTCTTTCAGCATGTGTTACACACCTAACCTGCGCCTCAAAGCCATCCTCATCACTATAATCTGGTGAGTCCCATATCATCGACCAACAGAATAAACTTCTCTACGGACAAAGAAAAGAAACTTAAAAAAGGAAAGCTTCTCGTAGAGAGCCATTTTCATTCCGTTTTCTCTGACATCTAGAAATTGAAACTTAACTCGTAGAAGAGTTTAGATTTTCCGCCGATACAGCTAGCTTATTGTGCACCCTCTTACACATTCTATGGACAGTTGAGCAAGTAAATATGGATGCTCAAAAGATATAGGAACTAAGCCCTAAAAGGATTAGCAGGAATACATTTGATTACATATTTACATTTTAAGTTTTACCTGTGAGAGACATGACTGCCTCTTCCAAAGCAGGGCCGGTTTAGGCAAACCATCTCAGAGTTTTAAACCAAAAATCTTACGTCTATGCAGTATTCTAGGAAGTTGGTAATATAGCAAGTGAAAAATGCATCAATCTTTACTAAATAATGATATCAAGTACAAATTTATGTAGAGTGTGAATGACAAATATTTGTGAGATATTATGCGTTGAATTATACCTGGAGAGGGTTTCGGGGGTCAACGCCCCCGCGGCTCGGTCTGAGATCAGGCCTCTTGGTGGATCAGGGTCTGATCAACAAGGCTGTTACTGCTGGCCGCACGCAAACTGACGTACGAACCACAGTCCGGCTGGTCAGGTACTGACTTTAGGTACCTGTCCAGTGCCTTCTTGAAGACAACCAGGGGTCTATTGATAATCCATCCTATGTATGCTGGGAGGAAGATGAACAGTCTTGGGCCCCAGACACTTATTGTGTTGCCTCTCAGTGTACTCGTGGTGCTCTGCTTTTCATCGGGGAATATTGCATCTCCTGCCGAGTCTTTTGCTTTCATAGGGAGTGATTTTCGTGTGCAAGTTTGGTACTAATCTCTCTAGGATTTTCCAAGTGTATATTATCATGTATCTCTCTCTCCTGCGTTCCAGGGAATATAAATCAAGAGACTTCAACAGTTCCCAGTAATTTAGGTGCCTTATCGTACTTATGTGTGCCGTGAAAGTTCTTTGTACACTCTCCAGGTCAGCAATTTCGCCTGCCTTGAAGGGGGCAGTTAGTGTACAGCAGTATTCCAGCTTAGAGAGAGCAAGCAATTTGAAGAGAATCATCATGGGCCAGGCGTCCCTAGTTCTGAAGGTTCTTGTTATCCATCCTATCATTTTCCTAGCAGATGCGGTGGATCCATTGTTGTTGTCTTTGAAGGCGAGATCCTCTGACATTATCACTCCCAGGTCCTTCACATTACTTTCTCGCTCTACTGTATGCTTAGAATTTGTTGTATACCCTGATACAGTTTTAATTTCCTCAATTTTTCTATATCTGAGTAGTTGAAATTTCTCTTCATTGAACTTCATATTGTTTTGAGTGGCCCATTTGAAGATTTGGATGATGTCCGCCTGGAGTCTTGCGGAGTCTTCGATGGAGGTCACTGTCATGGCAATTCGGGTGTCATCCGCAAAGGAAGACACGGAGCTATGGCTTACATCTCTGTCTATGTCAAATATGAGGATGAGGAATAGAATGGGAGCAAGTACTGTGCCTTGTGGAACAGAGCTTTTCACCGTAGCTACCTCAGACTGTACTCTGTTTATTATCACTCATTGTGTTCTATTTGCCAGGAAGTTTATAGATCCATCTACGAACTTTTCCCGTTATTCCTTTATCACGAATTTTGTGTGCTATTACATCATGGTCACATTTGTCGAAAGCTTTTGCAAAGTCTGTGTATACTACATCTGTATTTTGTTTATCCTCTACAGCATCCAAGACCTTGTCATAGTGGTCCAGTAGCTGGCACAAGCAAGAGCGATCTGCTCAAAACCCATATTGCCCTGGGTTGTGTAGCTGATGGGTATCTAGGTGGTTGGCGATCTTGCTTCTTAGATCCCTTTCAATGTTTTTTTATGATATGGGATGTTAGTGCTATCGGTCTGTAGTTCATTGCAATTGCTTTACTGCCATCTTTGTAGAGGGGGGCTATGTCTGTTGATTTTAGTGAGTGTGGACGACCCCCGTGACCATGCTCTCTCTCCATAGAATGTTGAAGGCACCTGACAGGGGATTGTCAGTTTTTGATGAACACGGAGTTTCATGAGTCTGGGCCGGGGACAGAGTGCATGGGCATTTCATTTAATTGCCTTTTCAAAGTCTTGTGGTGTTGGAGGATAATATCTGAGATTTTTGAGATGACCAAATTTTGGGGTCTCGTTCATAAAGAATTCATTTGGATTGTCGACCTATGTCTGGGGTACGGCTCGCCAAACACTGAGTCGTACTGGGACTTTAGTATCTCACACTTTTCTTAGATGTTCTCTGTGTATGTCCCATCTCGTCTATATAAGGGCCAATACTAGATGTTGTTTTTTTCCTTAGATTTGGCATAAGAGAAGAAGTATTTTTTTTTTAATTTCTTTTATGGCTTTTAGTCTTCCAGGGCAGAGGTTTTTAAAGGGCCAGAAGGAAAAAAAAGACTGGCGATAAATGGCAATAGTCCTACACCACCTGAAAACATTTCTGAAGACAGGGCACGGACATTGGCTCTCCCCAGAACAGCAAATATTAGTAAACTAATAACAAAAAAAAGGCGCTTACCGTGACTGGAACGATACCACAAATAAAACCCGCACATAAACAGAGAGCTTACGACGAACGTTTTGGTCCGACTTGGACCATTGACAAATACAACTAACAGAAGTAGCAAAAGAAAAAGCAAATAAGTTCAGGTAAGATTCCAATGGGATGGAGGGGGAAGACGGGACCGACGAAGATATAGCTCTGGAGAGAGTGTTCTTAGTCAGAGAATACAGCCAGAGCTCTAACCAGCAGCTAAGGCGACGTGGGGCAGACTTGAGACAGGAAGGAGCAGGGACTGTTGCATCGAACTTGTGGTAGTTGAAGTCTTGAATCTTGAGTAGCTGGCAGCAGGTAGGTCACATCATTTAGAGGGTAGAACAACATATGGGAATTATAGGAGTAACTGAGGATGCAAGTTAGCAATTGAACCATTTTCGAACTTTTTTGAAGCTGCTCCTAGACAGGTGGTATAGTTTAGCCTTGTTACTGAAGGTGAAACGTAGAGGCTTGATGAATCAAGAACCTTGGTGGAGTTGTGAAGTGAAGTGGTGAATTCACATGCATTCTTGACTGTTCCAGCACGTGGCTTTTGTAGAGTTCAGTACAGGTCATGGTTGTCAGTATTTGAAGAGAAGTGTAGATGGGTAAGGTTTTCCCATGAGGGTTTACTGGAAGTCGTCGTTATCTTCCCTCTTCTGGAGTGGATAAATTGGTGAGAATCTACAATGGTGGTAGCAGGTGACTGAGGGTCGACTGGAAAAACTGTGGAGAGGTTGTAATGGTTGTGTAACAGAGGCTGGAGAGGTGGAGAGACGGTGGTTGAGGAACGCATGACCAACGTTGTCAGCGGTGGAGTGTTATAGAAGTTTACAGGAGCAGTTGCTTGGGCAGGAGACAGGTCTGCAGGTGCAGTAAAGTTCAGGACGTTGGGAAGGATCTTGAGGATGTCTGCTGAAAAGGTGTGGAGTCCGGAAAATTGAAGGCAGGCATGTTGTTCAGACGGAATAGTTCGTTAATAGTGGTGTTGAAGTGCCGGGGTTTGGCTGCGTTTCAAGGTTTGCATACACAAGCAGTACCGCACCTTGGAGGAAGCACCGTGGGGGTGGGAGAGAGGGAGTTGCTGGGCGGGATGGTGCCTGTAGTTAGCGTGTAGAGGTCTTGGTGGTGTCGGTTTTTGGTTTGGTTATTGCAGCGTATGTCGGTGAATTGGAGGTGTTCTTTAGAACTTTGTTTTCTTAATAGGATTTCTTTCTTGAGTGGGCACTTAGCTGCAAGGGTATGATGATACTTGCAGTTAAGACATGTTGGTGCTGTGTAGCAATGGTGCGGATCTGAAATCGTGTCCATATTCCCCAACATTTAGAACAAAAACTTTCTTATCCTTGACAGGGCAGTCTCTTGGTGGTTGATGTTTATCGGGAGTAGCAGGTCCAGCAGTGGGAGATGTAATGTGAATGTTCCTTGTTCTATATGACTGGGTGAATGTGGTAATATGAGATGGCCAGGCCAGGTCAGAGAGGCTTGGGCAGCCACATGGAGATGTCTGAGAATGTAATCTTTTTCATAGATGAGGCGTTGGGGATCTGAGTTGTGTTACCGCGGCCCCAGGGTGTTTTGTTCCTCAATAGATGTCTTCAGTGCTTCAGTAGAGAGAGAGGTGACCATATTGTCAGACTTTTCACAACGACCCCAGAACCCAATTAATATTTGTATTATAATCAGTACAATTGTTGACCAGGCATGTGGGTCGTATCCAGTGGCTCATTACTTGTAATTTGTATCGATGACTCTGTAACCATGTATAGGAGTGAGCTGATTCATTATCTTTGTATCTTGCCATGATTGTGACCAGATCTACCTGGAGTTCATTACCTTTGTAACTAGTTCAGCTATCATAACTTTGGGGTCAAGTCCCTGGACCCATTATGTACCTTTGTAATCTTTTGACTACCGCCCACAGGATGGGTATGTGGTGACTAACGCCCACAGGATGGGTATGTGGGGACTACGCCACAGGATGGGTATGTGGTGACTACCGCCCACAGGATGAGTATGGGGTGCATAATAAAGATATTAAACTAACTAACTTTGTAGAGTGGGGCTGTGTCTGTTGTTTTTAGTGTGTGTGGGATGACCCCTGTGTCCATGCTCCCTCAATAAAATGCTGAAGGCACGCAATAGGGGCTTCTTGCAATTCTTGATGAACACGGAGTTCCACGAGTCTGGGCCTGGGGCAGAGTGCATGGGCATGTCATTAATTGCCTCTTCAAAGTCTTGTGGCGTTAGAACCTCCACTTATCGACGCAGTTTTTAGGATGATCAAATTTTGGGTTTCGTTCATAAAGAATTCATTTGGATTGTCGACCCTTAGTCTGGGTAGTGACTCGCTGAGTCATATTGGGATTGTAGTATATATCGTCTGTGTATGTCCCATCCCGCCTACATTCATCAGGCACCTTTTGGGTCTCTTCTTGAACTGGTTCATGCTATGACTGACTTTGACATGTCCAGGCAATCTTTTCCATTCCTTTATTGCCAAAGAGTATGGCTTCCGTTTCCCCGAGGTGTAACGATAGTTTGTTGTCTACTAACCATGTGCTGCAGGACTCCAGTTCCAGTGTTATTACATTAGCTATATCTTGTGGGTCTTTACCTGACACTAACAGAGCACTGTCATCCGCATACAGTAGGAGTTTGCACTTGACACTGATGGGCATGTCGTTTACATAACATAGAAATAATAAGAGACCCAGAATACTACCTTGGGGAACTCCACATGCTATCGGCAGGGGTTCTGATTCTGCTTTGTTGATTTTGACATTTTGTTTCCTATTGCTAGATAGAACTTAAACCAGTCTATGGAACCTATGGCAATAGCTTGAAGCGTCTTACATAATATATTGTGGTTGACCCTATCGAATGCCTTTTGCGAGTCTAAGGTTACCATTCCTATAAAGTTCCTTATCAACATTTCAGTTCTCATATAATCCATCAGATTAATTAGGGAGGTGTCGGTTGAGTAAGATCTCCTAAAGCCTGATTGGTAACTATGAAGAATATTGTTGTCATTAAGATATTTTACTACTTGACAGTACACTGCCACTTTCTAGAATTTTGGATATTGCACTGAGTATACTAACAGGCCTATAGTTGTTGACATCAGACCTATTATTTTTCTTGAAGATAGGAGTAACTCTAGCTTCATTGAAGCCCTCTGGTACGGTATTAGTGGTTATGGATAGATTTATTATGTGAGAAATGCGGATTGTCTATTCAGAGGCACCATCTTTAAGGAACTTAGACGGGATGTTATCTGGGCCGGTGCTCTTAGTTGGGTTTAACCTGCTTGGTTCTTTTTGCACGAAGTCATGAGATACACTTACTAGTTGAGAACTGTTTGGGATTACCCTTTTATTGGTATAGTACGTTTTAAACTTATCAGAGTCTGTGTTAAAGGTATTTGATGCAGCTGGTAGTTTACTTACTAGTGTTGATGCGACAGTTGTGTAGTATGAATTAAAAATTTTTGCCACTTTAGTTGCTTCATGCATACCTCGTTATCGATATTTAGTACTATGTTAGATCTATCTACAAGTTTATGGCTATACCCAACTGTTTTAGTTGTTGCCAGAGCTGTCTAGGGTTATTCTTGTATTCTTCGATTTTTGAGCAGCAGTGCCTTGCCGTTGCGCCTTTTATAAACCTCTGCACTCTGTTCCTCACCCTTTGGAATATCCTGTCTGTTTGCCTTAAATCTTTTTAGCAACTGGTCTCTGAATTTCATATTATCTAACATCTCAGTAGTCATCCAGGTTTTGGTTCTCCGTTTAATCCTCTCTTTAACTGGTGCAATATTATCAAGGATGGTAGTGAACATTGCTTTGAATTTTTCCCAGGCATCAGTTACATCCGTGCAACTTGTTATCACTGTCCAGTCACAATTGTCTTGCCTATTTACCAGTGTTTACTGTAGTTTCTAGTTGATCTCATTTTTATTGTCCTGTGTTGGCCTATCCGTTCCCTAATGATTTTCCTGGTACAGTAAATGATGAAATGATCACTAAAACCTGTGGTAATGACGCGTGACTTACTAATGTTCTCAGAGCAGTTACACAGTATGTGGTCAATTAGGGTGGCTGAGAATTATGTGATCCGGGTTGATGTATTAATTAGTTGAACGTAACTATTTAAATCCAGTGTTTGCTTATACCTTTTACATAGCCCGTTATTTTGCTGTTGAAAACAGATATTGAAGTCTCTCGGTATTACTGTCTTGCAATTGTTATCAAGTCCGGACAAGACTCGAAAAGTCCTCTAAGAACTAGTCATGGGTGGGAGGGCGGTAACTAGTTCCTACTAAGATGAGTTTGGTCTTGGGAAGCAACACTTCAAACCATAGAATCTTCAGTTTTTGTCATTCAAATCAGGTCTTGGATTACAGGCTAAGTCATTTCTTATGTAGACACATACACCACCACCTTTTCTATTCCTGTCTAAGCGTTTTATATTGTAGTTAGTTTGTTTAATATGTTCATTATGCACCCCATACCCATCTTGTGGGCGGTAGTCAAAAGATTACAGAGGTACATAATGGGTCCAGGGACTGGGCCTCAAAGTTTTGATAGCTGAGCAAGTTACAGAGGTAATGAATTCACAATTTACAAAGATAATGAACTCACAATTTACAAAGGTAATGAACTCCAGGTAGGTCTAGTCACAATCATGACAAGTTACAAAGGTATTTACAGATTACAGAGGTACACAATGGGTCCAGGGACCGGGCCCCAAAGTTTTGAATATTGTAACCTTCTATTTTGACCTCGTCGTCAGTCACCGTATCATCCAACCACTTACTGAGGAATAAAGAGATAGTATAATAACCAATGTGACATGTCAAGATATCTTATTAATGAAAATAAGATACCAGATATATTAAGCAAATTTCCTAAATTTGCTTTTAATGGGTAAGTGAACTGTAGATATAAGTAAGTAAGTAAGTAAGTTTATTCAGATATACACAAATACAGTTACATAGAATTATCATACATAGCAGCATATGTGTAGAGAACCTAGGATAACCCAAAAAAGTCAGACAGAGTGACTTATTTCCATTGGGGTCCTTTTACCTTATTATTATAATATAAAGGTTATAATATTTTCTTATTATTCTACAATGAAGATAACATCTTATTATCATACTAAAAAGACTATCTACTACACCAAGGTCATTAAGACTATCTACAATACGAGGGTCATTACTAGGAATATGGTAAAATTTACACGTATGTTAGCTAAAAAATAGAAAATCATTCCCCTCCCTTTCTGTAGCTACATTCATCAGACACCTTTTGGCACTCTTCTTGAAAATGGTTCATGCTATGACTGGCTTTGACATGTGTGGGCAGTCTGTTCCATTCCTTTATTGCTGTACAATAAAAGGTGTTTGAAGCCTGTCCAATGACTGTGGGTACTACAAAGTTGTGCTCTCTCCCCCTAGTACTATGATTGCTTTGGTTCCCAAACCCTTTACAAAATTGACAGCAAGATATT